GATGAGGATGATGAGGATGATGAAGATGATGAAGATGACGCAGTAAACCATGGAAGACACAAAAACAAAGTGAATTTTACCAGAGTGAGGATGATGAAGATGGCTCAGGAAATCAGGCATGGAGGAGACAAAAATAAAGTTATTTTTTACCAGAGTGAGGATGATGAGGATGATGAAGATGAGGATGATGAAGATGAAGCAGTAAACCATGGAAAAGACAAACACAGAGTGAATTTTACCCGGAATAAGCAAAAATAAAGTTATTTTCACCAGAGTGAGGATGATGAGGATGATGAGGATGATGAAGATGATGAGGATGAGGATGATGAAGATGATGAGGACGATGAAGATGAGGATGAGGATGATGAGGACGATGAAGATGAAGCAGTAAACCATGGAAAAGACAAACACAAAGTGAATTTTACCCGGGTGAGGATGATGAGGATGATGAGGATGATGAGGACGATGAAGATGATGAGGATGGCTCAGTAAATCATGGAAGAAACAAAAACAAAGTTAATTTTACCAGAGTGAGGATGATGAGGATGATGAGGACGATGAAGAGGATGATGATGACGATGAAGATGAAGCAGTAAACCATGGAAAAGACAAACACAAAGTGAATTTTATCCGGAATAAGCAAAAATAAAGTTATTTTCACCAGAGTGAGGATGATGAGAGGATGATGAGGATGAAGAGGATGATGAGGATGATGAGGATGAGGATGAAGAGGATGAGGATGATGATGAGGATGATGAGAGGATGATGAGGATGAGGATGATGAAGATGATGAGGATGAGGATGATGAGGATGAGGATGATGATGACGATGAAGATGAAGCAGTAAACCATGGAAAAGACAAACACAAAGTGAATTTTACCGGGGCGAGGAAGGCGCAGGAGCACAGAGGAGCCGAAATTAAAGTTCTTTTTTGACCGGCCACAACCCGAGCGAGGCCGGCGCGGGGGAGGCGACAACAAAAACTTTCCCGGGGTCCCTTTTTTTTTTGGGGGGGGGGAAAGGAGGGGGATTTTCCAAATTTTCCCCAATTTTTCCCAAATCCTACCGGTGCTGACGTGGATTTTTTTCATCCAGGGATAAACTACGGGAGCTTTGGCCGAGCCGGGCTCGGGATTCCCGCACGGAGCCGGACCCGGGGGCTCGCAGAGCTGAGGCTTCTCCGCCAGGTGCTGCCTCCCTCCTCCTCCTCCACCTCCTCCTCCTCCTCCTCCTCCCCTCTGGAGCCCCCCGCAGCTGAAGGGGCGCTCGGGGAATCCTCCCCGGGGCCCCCCGAAGATCTCGGGGTGCTGCTGCGGGAACCGCCCGTAATACTCGGGGCTGTGCTCGGGGATGTAATTACTCTGCGAATATTCCTCGCATGGAGGGAATTTCGGATCGATGTAGCCCGAGTCCATCAAATAAGAGCTCATGATCATTAATTTCTGGAGTGGAAAATAATTTTTCTCGCTTTGTCGTTTTTCTGCTCCATAAAGCCCTCCTACTCGCGGCCACCCCGTAAAGTTTCTTCCACCATGTGACGAGCGCGGCCAATGGCGCCCCGGCCCCCGGGCCCCGGATCAGGAACCCAAAGCGCCGCAAAATTCACCCAAAACGCGGGGGGAGAACCGTGGGAGGGAGGGGGAGACGGGGACGGGAGCGGAAGGGGCGGAAAATGAGCCCAAAATGGGATGGGGAGGGGGTGGGAAGACGAGGGGAGAGAGCTGAGCGTGGATAACGGAGCGAAAATGACATGAAATGAACCCAAAATGGGATGGGGAGGATTGGGAAGGGGATTTGGGGTGAGGGGAGAGATCAGGTCATGGATAACGGAGCGAAAATGACATGAAATGAACCCAAAATGGGATGGGGAGGGGTTGGGAAGGGGATTTGGGGTGAGGGGAGAGATCAGGTCATGGATAATGGTGAGAAAATTCTGTAAAATGAGCCCAAAATGGGATGGGGAGGGGGTGGGAAGAGCTCAGGTCTTACTGAGCAAAGGAGCAAAAATCCCGTAAATTCACCCAGATTTGGGATGGGGAAGAGTGGAAGGTGAGGGGAGAGCTCAGGTTGTGGATAAGGGAATGAAAATTCCATGAAACGAACCCAAAATGGGATGGGGAGGATTGGGAAGGGGATTTGGGGTGAGGGGAGAGATCAGGTCACGGATAAAGGAGCAAAAATCCCATGAAATTCACCCAAAATGGGATGGGAGGGGTTGGGAAGGGGATTTGGGGTGAGGGGAGAGCTCAGGCCGAGGATTTGGAACCCAAAAACCCCCAAAATTCCCCAAATCAGCCCCGGAGAAAGGAGCAGAAATCCCCTAAAATTGCCCCAAATTGGGGTGAGGGGATTTGGGATCAGAGAAATTGGAGTGAGGGGATTTGGGATCAGGGGATTTGGGATTTGGGGATTTGGGATTTGGGATTTGGGATTTGGGATCTGGGGATTTGGGATTTGGGGTGGAAGAACCCCAGGGGTTCAGCAGCCGACCCCCCTTGGGCCCCTTTTGGGGTGATTTGGGATGGATTTGGGATGGATTTGGGGTGTTTGGGGTGGATTTTGGGTGTATTTGGGGTGTTTGGGGTGATTGGGGTGGATTTGGGGTGTTTGGGGTGGATTTGGGATGGATTTGGGGTGATTTGGGATGGATTTGGGGTGTTTGGGGTGTATTTGGGGTGTTTGGGATGGATTTGGGGTGTTTGGGATGGATTTGGGATGGATTTGGGGTATTTGGGGTGTATTTGGGGTGTTTGGGGTGGATTTGGGGTGTTTGGGGTGTATTTGGGGTGTTTGGGGTGGATTTGGGGTGTTTGGGGTGGATTTGGGGTGTTTGGGGTGGTCTGGGTGGGTTTGGGGGGGGTTTGGGATCTTTTGGATGGATTTGGGATGCTTTGAGATGCTTTGAGGTGGATTTGGGATGGATTTGGGATGGATTTGGGGTTGTTCAGGGTATTTTGGGATGGTTTGGGGTGGTTTTGGATGATTTAGGGTGGATTTGGGACATTTGGGGTGGTTTGGGCTGGGCTTTGGGTTGATTTGGGGTTCTTTGGGGTATTTTGGGAAGCTTTGGGGCATTTTAGGGCAGTTTTGGGATGGTTTGAGGTGGTTTTGGGATATTTGGGGTGGTTTTGGTGTCCCTTGGGGCACTTTGGGGTTATTTTTGGGCACTTTGGGGTTATTTTTGGGCACTTTAGGGTATTTTAGGGCACTTTGGGGTATTTTAAAGCACTTTGGGGTTATTTTGGAGCACTTTGGGTTATTTCGTGGTATTTTGGGTTATTTTGTGGTATTTTGGGTTATTTTAGGGCACTTTGGGGTTATTTTAAAGCACTTTGGGGTATTTTAAAGCACTTTGGGGTTATTTTGAAGCACTTTGGGGTTATTTTGCGGTATTTTGGGTTATTTTGGAGCACTTTGGGGTTATTTTAGGGCACTTTGGGGTTATTTTGAAGCACTTTGGGGTTATTTTGAAGCACTTTGGGGTTATTTTGCGGTATTTTGGGTTATTTTAAAGCACTTTGGGGTTATTTTGAAGCACTTTGGGGTTATTTTGCGGTATTTTGGGTTATTTTAAAGCACTTTGGGGTTATTTTAAAGCACTTTGGGGTTATTTTGCGGTATTTTGGGTTATTTTGGAGCACTTTGGGGTTATTTTG